AATATCTGTAACGAGTTGGACCAGCCCTGTGGGAGGACAGTGAGTCGTTGGCTCCCGAATGGTGTAGGGAATGTCGTAAGATCGCGCGACCCTTCGTCGAGCTTCCTGTGATCGAAACCCACGAAGAAATCGACCAGGCAGTAGATCCCACGACCTGCGCACTGCTCTGCAAAGTGCTGAACAAGCGGCGGCTCGGCAGCATCCTTCACGGTAACAGCATTGAGCTGCACCAAGTCGTGCACGATCCTCACCGTGCCGTCCGACTTCTCAACAGCGAACCAGTTCGAGGAGTACGAGCTATTCGACGGCTTGTACACCCCTGCAGCCATCTTCTCGCGAATGAGTTTCAATACCTCATCGCGAATGCCGGGCGGGATGGGGCGTGGCTTTTGTGCCCACGGCTCGTGTTCGAGAACGGGAATCACAACAGGTGTGAAATAGTCGTCGCGAAACGTCCCACGCTCCGACGTTTCCCAAGCCAGGGCCATCTCATTCTGTACGAGAACCTGGGCGACCAGCTGTTGTTCTTCTGGGAGAAGGTTCTGATTATCGAAGATTCCGGTGGCTTCGAGTCGAGTCCAGGTAAGATGTTTTCCAGGGTCAGAGCCAGCGGGGAATTCAGGTGGTTTCGGTGAGAGCGGTGGCAGCGAGAGTAACGGATCCTCGGGAAAGCGGCGGTGGACGCGGGCTTCGGCCGGGGTTGTCGCGGGCACGGGATGGACTTTATCGGCAGCTCTCTTGTATGCTAGACAGTGTCGCGTTGTGTCATAATTATAAGCTGTTGCCAAGCGCTGCTCGTCGACGGCGTTGTGAGAAATACGGACGCGGGGAATGGGAAGTGATGCCGACGGTCCTGCCGACGGGATTACCGCAATGGGAAATGAGGCACAGATCGCGAGATCATCACTGCTCGCGTGCGGGGGCTGTGCCTCATCACCTTTTCCCTGGCGGTACGCGCTGCTGGTCTGTGCATTTGCCGTGCTTCCTCCATCGTCCGGATCTCCCTCCTTGTGCACCACGTTGGCTTCTTCGGACGACCGCGACACGGACCCGCCCTCAGCTTCAACGCTGCCGGTGCTTACATCCCCGAACGTGCACCCTTCCTCGCCGTTTGGCTGCATCACCTCGGTGCAGTCGAAATACTCCTCATCTGAGTCGTATCCGTGTGGGTCAACGTTTTCGTGTGCGGGAAATGAAAGGACTCGCCTCGCAGGGGGAATCGCTCGCGATTTCTCCCCCGTGGAGGCTTCATGCCTGGCCGTCGTTTCGGCCGTGTCCTGGTTCCGCAACTCTTCAACCCCGTTGGCGGCGTCTTCGAGCAACTTGTCTCCAAGCTCGCCCTCAGCATCGCCAATTCGCTCCTCAGTGTCTACGAAATGTTCCTCGACGGCATCTTTGAATATCTCCGCAGCGAGCATATCCTCCGCATCGTCGCCCTCCTCGCTGCCAGCGTCATCGAACCCCGGTAAGTCATTCCAGACATCTCCGAGGCTCTCATCTGACTTGCCTTGCGGCAGCTCCACGCCCTCCGCCTCGTACGCGCGTCGTCGCACTTCCACTGGCCAATCTTTGGTAACGATGTCTCGCCTCAAAGTCACCAGAGACGCCTTTGGGATTGCGTGCGGTCGTTCCGTTGTTGGAATAACCGCGTAGTTCGACCTGTCTTTGGGGTCATGTACGGTGATCAGTACGTCCCCATCCTCCGTCTGTTTCTTCGCTAACGACACGTGCAGCTGCCATGGCTGTCCCAGCAGCAGCCGGTACGGTGCTTTAGGGACAACATATGCATGCGCCCATGTTCGTATCCCCCCAACTTCGATGAGCAAACGCTCCACACACCCCGGCAGCAACGAGACTCCATCATCAGCAGTTTGCATATTCAAGGCGTACCTTTTATTCACCGGTAAATCCAGTTCGCGGAATAGATCTTCGCGGATTACAACGATTTCTGAGCCATCGTCTAGTAATCCAAGAACAACCTGTTTTCCGTTTACGGTGACGAGACACTCGCGCAAAGGAGCATAGTGCTGGACAGGCACATCTGCGTCGGAGAGAGGACTCGCGAGGAACGAGGCGAGTGCAATTTTTGGGTCGTTAGGCACCCTGTTAACACGTGAATGTTCCACAGCCTGCTTGCGCAGGTCGGGGCTGATTGCGAGCAGTTCGCCGTAAGGGACGGGCACAACTGTCTCGAGTACGCGTGCATGAATGCTCCGCGCTGCATCGGGTATTGTGGCAGCGGCTTTAGATTGATTGAAATACGCACCTGTACGTTGTTCCGTCGTCCGCCCCTTATTGCTCTCGCTGACCAATTGCTCTACAGCTTCTGTTTCTGTCTCCTTCGCACCTCTCGTCACCGCCGCCGCGATCAACCGCCTGATCAATTCGTCCTTGTCATCTCCTCCCATCTTCTCCAAAGTCACCTCTGCTGCCTCTTTCTCACCGAATCCATACGACTCTTCTACTGCTTCCCTTGGTACTTCTGCGATCACGGCATTGCTTTGCGCATCCAGCACAATGCGGAAGTGATATGTTTGGGCTACTGGTGGTGCAGGTGCCGCTGCTGCGAGCGGGCCGCCGTAGCGTGCATCAACTTCAGCCTTGAGCCCGTTTGGATTGCCGCGGATTCGGCTCCCGTCGGAGTAACGGTGCCATACATCTACAATGACGATGCGACCCGCCTGGATGTATGCCCGACTGTGAGGGCATGATCCAATGAAGCAGCCGAGGGCCTTGCAAAAGAAGCAGCGGCCGTCGTTTGTGCGCTGGGCGGGCAGCATTGCAGGTTGCGCAGGCGCAGGCTGTTGCGTTTGGAAGGGGGGAGGCTGGGCTGGCGCAGCAGCATACGCTGCAACGAGATTCGCTTGGGGTTGCGGCTCTTGATAGAACGCTGGCATGGCGGGTGGACGAAGAACCTGTGCGAATGCCGGAGCAGCGAGAACAATCTGCGCATAGTATCCAGAATACCGAGCATCACGCACATCCAGGCTGGCCATTGCCTTCGTCAAGTCATCCAGATCACCGACATCTTTCTTCTTCACCACCTCCAGTACCACCGCCACTGTCTTCGTGCGCACCTCCGCCACCTCCGCCTTCTCCTTCCTCCTTCTCTGTTTCCCCTTCTCGTCATCCGACGAGCTCTCCGAGTCCGACGCAGACTCGCTTTCAGAGTCCGTGTCTCGTGTGCGCCTCTTCTTCTTCTTCTTACCCTTGCGCTTCTTCCGTGCGGCACGCGCCGCTTTCTCCTTCCGCTCCGTTCGGGATAGTGCCTCATCATCGGACGACACGACATTTTCCCCGAAGACAAACTTTCCGGCCGCTACCACCTTTTCTATGGAAGGAACATCCTCGCGGGAATATGTTGCCACATCCATGACCTCCAGTCGCCTGTCAATTCTCCTCCGTGCAGATTTATCGAGCGCCCGCCAGAACTCCTTGTCCCGTTCTCGTTCGGACAACTTTTTCTTCTTCACGAGCCAACTCGCAATCGGAAAGAATGCAAAGTAAAACTCCATGAAATCAGCCTCCGTCTCGATCTCCTCGTCGCGCTGCGTACGAGTGAGCCGGTCCAGGTCGCCCATAGTGTATGTGCGTCCCTTCTCCGCTCCTGCGTACATTGACGTGATGTTCTTTTTGAACTCATCGTAGTTCTTGGTCTCGTAGCCCTTGAGCTCGATCCATGTTCGCTTTGTCTTTCGAAGAGACGTAGCGAACAATGCTTTTGCATTTCTCAGCGTCGCTCAAGGCGTGCGCCGTCGCCAGCTCCTCGAAATCCTCGAAAAAATCAAGCAACTATGCTGGCTCACCATCGAAGCTTGGCGCTTTCGCTGAGGAGGATGCAGGCATTGCACTGATCCCCTTAACTGGCGTGTTCGCCGACATGATCGGCTGTGGTGGTGGTGGTGGTGCGGGTGTGGTTTGTGTTGGTATAGACTGTGCCGGTAACAGTACGGTTTTCTTGGTCGGCGACGATCTGGGGGTCGTACCACCAGATTGTGTCTGCTTCGACGTCGACGTCGACGCCGTCGGTTTGGGCGGTGGTGATGGCCAAGCGCCGGGTTCCCAGGGTGTCACGGTGCTGGGCTTTGCTTTGTTCTTGCGGTCGGGCTGCTGGCGTGTCGGTTCTTCTGCTGGGAGTGGTCTCGGTATGGTGAGTGTTTTACTAATTTAGATGGATCCGCTTTTGACAATTGCGGTGGGCTCCAGATGTAGCGTCGTGCCGTCTATCGCTCGGGGATCGTCTCGATGTCGTCTGGTCGTCTCGTGGGGGAAAACCGTCGATATGCTGGGAGATACTAGACAAGCCGGAATCTACCTACCAGCTACCGCATGTCTGTACGTAGGTACGAACGTGTAGATGGTCGCGTACGAATGTCCGAATAAGGGAACATGGAGGTAACGTAAATGAGCGCGTCCCCGCCTGCACCGTGTCCCGCCCTACAGCGTACACTACCCAGCGCCTGGCTATCAAAGCCTTCAACGCAGCCCTGAGGTGGGGCGGCGTTCAGGTCGTCTGAACAGTAACAGCGGTATGTTATCGGTAACTTCCTATCATTTTTGTTCCTTACAGCCGAGCAGTCACTCCACTGGGCGGGCTGTTGCCGTGTAGTATCTGTTGCCTATCGTAGTCAATTTCGGTCCCGTCACCTGCAATGCTATATTTTGAGCTCTGTGTGCCCGAGCAAAACCGTACCAAAAAAAGGTGGGGGAAAACCCTACCCTTTTGAGCTAGCTGCTTGTTGCGCAACAAGACGCGGCTGTCACGCGGCTGTCCGTCGCCCGTACTGTCGGCCGCATCAACTTCTATCAAGATCATTCTGTAGCCACCCTCCAGCTCTAGGATTTCTGATTAATTCAATTTTGTGTACGTATTTATAGCGCCGTTTGGGATTTAAGATCAACCGGCAGCCATGTCCCGGCTGTAGCCAGCAATTTATTTTCTCTCAAAACGAGAAATTCATCCCAGCATATACTCATTCACTCATCTAGGCCGACATCAAGACCCTGTAGTATAATGGTTAATACGCCAACTGTTCCTAGCGCGGGGAAATAGGTAAGCTGGAGCTCCCCGTTCGATTCGGGGTAAGGTCATGGATGGAGAAGGATGGAATTTTTTTTCTTCACACCCGCTGTTCATTGTTTTCTTCCCACAGACTTCCCTTTTGCCACGCCGCTCATCTTTTCATCAGTCAGGATTCCTCCCTGTCGGTTCCTCCATTTCCACGCATCTCTTGGCACTTGCACAGGGCCGTACATCTATCCGCCCACAACTTATCAAGCCTCCGCCCACTCGACGTGTTGTTCTGGAGCATGCCGCCCTCTGATCTTACCCCAGTGGAAGTCGCTGCCGTTATCACTCCCAATAACCACCTGCAGCGTCTTACAATGCGCGAACTCGAGCTCCTCACTTCTCACTTCACGGCCAGTGAGATGGAACGGCTCGTCAATTTACTTCGTCTGAAGGCCCTGGGCCGCCAACTCCCGTCTATCATGAACAAGATTATTGTTGCAGTGCGGCGCATGAGCGACAATCCTCCGCAGTACGACGATGACATTGAAACGGTGACTCGTATCTTCGAAGACAGCGACCTCTTAGGTAGGTCACTGCCACTGAATTTATCTCTTACTTTGTTGACCGCTCGCAGGGACCGACGTATTGACACCACCACCATCCTCCCCAGAACTGCTGTCTACGCCCGTCAGACGACCCACGGTGCGGTCAATGCCATCGACCCCAAACAATCGTGTTCTCTCCTCACCGACATCCACCCGTCAACGTCAAGATCGCGCCACGGCTACCACAAAATACGTTGTTCGATCTGGCGTAAACTCTACAGAGGAGTACGCTGTTAACTGGTTCGAGGCGGGGTCACTCACGCAAGGTGTTCCTGGATCCTCCGTGCACGCCACCCCTGCGTGTTCTTGACACAACCACAAGCCACCTGCCGCCGCGCACATCGTCTTCTTTGGCGGCGAGGTGGATGTCTTTGAGTCGTGGAGTGCTGCTTCGTGCAGCGTTACTGGCCATGGTCTCGCCATCCACTCCGGTTTCTCCTCTCTCACTGAAGCCAGGGCGGCACTTGCCTACGCCCGGCAGCGCGGTTGGACAGCCAATTCGATTGCCTCTCCTTCGACCCTCCCCACTGCTCTTCCCATTCCATCCTCGTACGATGACAACCCCCTCAATACGTCGTCACGCTCGTCCGACTGGTATGCGGTTTGTCGCGGTGTCGTACCCGGGATATATTGTTCCTGGCTGGAATGTAGCCTCAACACTTCTGGGGTCAAGGGGAATCTTTGCAATGTCTTCGACACTCGCAAGGAGGCAGAAGCCGCCCTTGCGTCGGCTTATAAAGCCGGGTGGGTACGCTCTATCGCACGTAAGTAGTGTATTTAGCGTGTCATGTCTGTAGCTTTTGTTTCCCTCCAATGCGACCCCATTTCACACTTCCATCTCTTCTCGTCCAATTTCTTTTGAAAAAAAAAACGGGGACAGAGGGCGAAAAGTGTGTAAACGTCCATCATACAATCAGAAACCTTAATTGAATTATATTGCTGCGGTACCTGTGCATGGAACTCGCCAGAACGATCTAAATCTGGAACAAAGAGATTATATTCACACACAGGTCTGTGCGCACGCCCCCAATCTCCACCCACTGTATATAAGACTTCGTCTTAGGCCCACCTCTCTCACCTAAACCACCATCTCCCTTACCTTTTACCAACCTTGTGAGAATTGTCCAAGTAGTTGAACCGAACATTGGGTGACTGCTGACCTAATCATGTCCGCTTCAGTCTGCATCTGCTTACTCTGACCCCCCATCTCCACCCTCTCTTCACCCCTACTGTGAGCACCCACGTTTATTCCCTGCAACCCAGTCAGGGTACTTAACCAACTCTTCAAATGGAGCAGATGCACTTCCTCGCCCAGCAACGCTGGCCCACCGACCTCAATCAACTCTTTGTATCTGCGAAGTCCCAGTCCGACGCCGGCAATGACATGGAAAACCGCTACTATGGCGCCTACACTATGATGCTTACCCACTGCTTTGGGCCGGGCTACAGGTTCATGGTCGCTCCGCAGTACGCCCCGCAAGTTCATAGCCACGAGACCATCGACTTCATTATGGTGATTTATATTGTTGTCTGCCACATAGACCATGAACGCCCTGTCCTCATCCTGGAGATTAAGGACGACAAGCACATCAAGTTCGCCAGCAGGCGCCAGTTGGTGGACGCGCAAATGTGCCACCGCTATGACGAACTGCTCGATAGGTGCCCCATCGACGTCCTCCATGGCATCAGTGTGATTGGCACCAAGATGCGTTGCTACACCGGCGACAAGTGGTCTGGCATCGTCAATCTGCCCGTCGTCATCCCCCACCACAGCCGCTCACTCCCGACCACCTATTTGTTGAATGATTGGGACACCGACATCATGTCGGAGGCGGGGTTCCAACAGATGCAGTCCATCGTCAAGTACATCGCCGACGCAGTTTTCAAGATGAAGCCTCATGACCCAACCGAGCTGATCACTCGAGAGTAAGTCCTCCTTTTATCTAACGACTAACATGCTTACATCATCCCAGGGTGGCCCACAACGCTGCGATCTTGGCCACGGAGCAGGAGAGCTACAAGCAACGCCTCAACGCTGAAAGGCAAGGTGTCATCAACGCCATGTAAGTCTTTGAGGTCATCTTTATATTATTTCTCTCAAAAGTTGGCAGAGCTGCCGGCCAAGCAACGGGCTTCATTGCCGCGGAGGACGTGCCGCCCGTGGTGGTGCCTCGCCGTGGCCAGGTGCCCCAGGTGGTGGTGCCTCGCCGCACCCGTGCCCGGGCGCCCGCAAACAAACAGGACGACCAGGACGATGAGATGGCTGACGACGACGACGAGACAGTCAACGAGACGGGGAACAATACCGATGGCGTCACCGCACACGAGGACACCGACGGTGGCAGCTACTATGACCCGTAAGTATTAATCCACTCAGGTTTTGTATTTATTCAATACTCCGTTGGAAGGAACAATGAGTCGAGAAACACGTTGATGTCGTTGATCGGGTCGTCGTAAAGTGTCGCTCAACGAGTAAAGCTGCCGCCGTTCGCCTCCCGTCCGTTTCATATGCCAAATTTTTTACTATCTCGCTACGAATCTGTACACTACGTCTACCGCACCGCCTTTTGAAAACATTTTTCTCCTCTTTCATGTTCAGATTAAGTGGAACAAGCACAACATCGTGATTGATAAAGCAGGATTAAGTTCGTGAAGAGTTCCTCAAAGTTCAGAGTTCGTCATCCGTGTCACGGTGTTACCCTCGTCACCACCGTCCTCGAGACCATTTACTTCGCAACAGAACATATATGTGGCCCATTGAAATGCATGACGAAGTAATACAACAGCTTCTCTCACCTTTTTTTGAAAAAATCCCCCTCAGATGTTTGTGGATAGGGCCAGACACCACATCGATGACGAACTCCCACATCGATGACGAACTCCAGACCTGCAACAATCTTTCCCATTCAAAACCCCAATAAGCGTTGTGATAGGTTTTTACATTTTCTAACCACCCCATGAATTTCGAGTCGAAGATATCTATCTATTATAGTAGCACATTGCTGGTAACATCAATTACTCGCTGCAATTCCACACAAAATTAAACATGTCCGACTTCGCATTTGACCTCTCATGACAAACTCCGACACACGAACTCCTCGTCGATTAATAACGTCTGATTTGCGAGCCGATTATCCCATATGAGCTGGTATTTTGTGAGGTGAGTAAAGATGTCATTACTGAACTACATTGAACCTTAATTCTCGACAGACAGCCAGAGACGCGCTTTCTTGTTTGCAGCGTTTTAAATGAACACCGCCACATTCGCCTCTCGAGATGTGGCGGTGTATCCGTCTTTTGCATGCGCCAGGTCGAAGTGACAGACGAAATCCTGGACCGCTGGGCACAGGCTGCCTGGGAATATCGCCAGCGGTTATTTTTCCCCTGTTTTCTTCTTCAGAACCCTGACCGTAATGATATTTTTCTAGGAACAAGGAGGCCATTAATTCCAAGGCACGACAACGGATGCGAGAGTACGTTGTTTATATATGTCCCCATCCTCCGTTGAATTATCCCAGGCGACGCGAGAGACTCAAGAAGGCTTCCAGCCATGTGCAGCGACAGCACGCGGCGAAGGCCCGCGAGTACCGCAGAACCTATAGAGAGTGCGTCATTATCTGTCTCTTCATTGGACACGAATGTCTGACCGTAAGCACAGAAGCAGACACAATCGTCCTGTTCAGAAGGTAAAAAGTAAAAAAAAAAAGTTCAAAAGACAGGGAAGCAGAAGCAAAAGCTCACCACATCCGTCGCTCCACGTACCCCGCGTGGGAAGGGCACCGACTCCACCCCCACGCCTACGACCCGCACTAAGGCCTCCACGGCGTACCTGCTGGAGCACCCACAGACGCCCCCAGTTTCTGGAAAAGCGACGAAACAAAAAGGAGTGATGTCTCCATGCCCACACCCTGCCGATTGTTCCTCGGATGCAGAGTCCAACGTGGACTCTGTTCTCAGCGACTTCGAGGAGGACGGGCCGGAAACTTGGGAGCGCGACTTTGACATAAGCACGGAGTACGAGGCAGAGCTCGGGCCTCTGCTCAATCACACTGGGCACGGAGATTATGTGCCGTTGCCCTGTCAGCAACCGTATCATTTGTTCGATTTCTTCCTCGGTTGGAATGTTGTAGGATTTCAGGACCTCATCGGCATAGTTCGTCTGGAAGGTGACACCGTCCATTGTCTTGAACTTGTCTGGGACAGCATCGTCCACCCAGTGCTCGAGAGCCGGAAGTGCGACGCCATTGTTGCGGTAGCTGGCTCGGATGCGGGCAGACAATTTATTGAACTCGGTCGGAGCGAAGAAGTCGATGGGCACTTTTTTGGGCAAACGAGTACTGAGAATTGGAGGTGAGGGGTTTAGAACATGTTTTCGTGTGCGCATCCCTTGATATCCTGGACCTGGAAGCGTGGATCCCCGCCCTAGGTTGTCAACATTCTGTTTATGGATGCGGTCGTGGATGCGGAGGAATTTG